TGCTGCTCGCTCATTTCATGCCATCTGCATACAGCGTGCGGTGTGTGCTGGTGTGAGTGCGCGAGTCGCTGCTCTGTGTGTGTGTGTGTGCGTGAGCTCCCACCCTCCCTCCCCACCCAAATAACCCCCTTACTGATCGTCGATTGGTCACGCCCACTCCAGCTGTTCCGTTCTGTCGCGCTGCGCTGTTCCCTTTAACGTGCCCCACCGTGACGTACCTGGCGACACACAGTGTGTCACACACGGCAACACGACACACTACACAAGCGTTTTGATTTTCCGTTATCCGCGCCCTCCGCGCCGCTAGAGTGGTATGGCTCGCGGGAGGACCGCCGCGCCGCCGCGCCGCGCTGTATGGTCCCCGAGCGAGCTCCCCGAGGATGTCTCCCGCGACCCCGACGAGACCGGCTGGCTGAACGGCAGGCACATGCGGTGTCCCCGGGGATCAGCTGCTCCCCACGCGGCTGCGAGTCAAACCGCAGAGAGGAGGCGGAGCGCCCCCCCTCGGGCGAGGGGCAAGGGGAGGGTCAGGAGGGGGATGAAGCGGGACTGACACCAGTCAATCGCGCCATGTCGACCTAGTTAGGCTACATTAACAAGACTCGCAACCTGCTGCTTTGGTAGTCGTTTTATTTAAACGAGTCTATATGTACAAGTTCTACAAATACACATCACAATAGCACATCATTATGTATAATTTAATATACATGCATTCTGCTTGCCGCGGCGCGGGGGGGCGCGCGCGGTTATTGCCCAGGGGGAGAGCTTTTGTGCATCCGTCGGGAGGGAGAAAGCGATCCGGGGGAGGAGGGGGGGGGGTGCACAATGCGACAGAGGTGTGAAAACGTGCGCCTGCCTGGCGATAAAAATAAGAATGGGGGTTAATGGGCGGCATCCATACGCGGGCAGGGCGACGGCCACATAGCCGTTTGCAGAATGCGAACCGAGTGCGAGATTCTAGGATGCCGATAACTCCGGTAATCGACGAACGTCGTCGCCCTCGCTCGCAGGGCTCTCAGGTGTGGCACCCCGACGGGGAAGCTCTCCAGGTATTAAATAAAAAGTTCTACTCCATTTCTGGAGCGTGATATGCACTTTTGGATTATTCATCCTCAATTAGAAATTATCAGTGCGTTAACAAACAGACTAACACTACGCAACTTTCACTTTGTCCTACAACACACACACACGCGCGTGTCGCTGATCACAGCCAATCGCGTCGAAAGGATTGCAGGCAAGTATAAGAACAAGTTATATCTTCGATGGTAACAATATCACAGCTGTATCTTCTCGCGTGCTTACTTCACGCAAATGTTCACCACACGCAATCACATGTAGGGCTGCGCCTGCGAGTGCTTGCTGGGCTCTGGCCGCACCCACGCCTCGCTTGGCGCGGAGAGCGCGGCGTGCGCGCCCCCCAGGGGCCCCCCCAGGGCCGCGGGGCCGCCGGGCGCGCCGGGGATGAGGCCGCGCAGGCTGGTGAGGCGCGCCAGCCCGGGCCCGCAGCGCTCGAGCTGCTGGTGCTGGCTGCGCACGGCGAAGCGGTTCACGTGCACGGGGATGGGCACGACGATCTTGGTGCCGGAGGAGGACGACGAGCCGCCCGCGCCCGCCGCACCGGAGCCGCCGCGCCCGCCGCAGCCGGAGCCCGACACGCCCGCCTTGACGCGCTTCCACTTGGCGCGCCGGTTTTGGAACCATATTTTGACCTGGTGGCACAGGGTTCATCATGGTTAGACATGTCGTGAGGAGGGTATGGGATCAAGAGACTACTTGGTGGGATTGCTGCATCATTTGGGCCCCCCGCTCACCTGCACCTCGCTGAGCTTGAGGGCCGCGGCGATCTGCGAGCGCTCCGTCAGCGAGAGGTACTTCTTGGCCTGGAACTCGCGCTCCAGCTCGAGCAGCTGCTCGGACGTGAAGGCGGTGCGGCGGCGCCGCGTCTTGTTCGGCCCGCCCCCGGAGGCGCCGCCCGCCCCGCCCCCG